AAGAACTACTGGGTGCACAAGGGACAAGTCCGAGGCTGAGGAGCTCACTCACTGCAAACGTACATTTGAAAAGAGAGGTCACAACTGAGGCTGTCGGCAAAGCTTGATCCACGTCAAAGGAAAAAAGAGGGAAAGTCTCCAGACAAAAAATTGTGGTCAGCGGCCTTCGAAAAAGACTTTCCGGAATCGCACTGTCGTCCCTCCACGCGCTGATGTGAAAGCACCCGAGCTTCTACCACGTGGTTCATGACACAGCCTGAGCCATGTCGGCGACCGGTTCGCGAGGGGTTGGCGGTGGGGTTACGTTGATGGTCACTCGGATTAGCCCTTGCTGTACTGAGCGGCCGCCTGCAGTGCCTTATCGCCGGCTGGTGTCAACAACGAGAACACACACACCCTGTCTACACCAAAACTACAAGCGTTCACCGCACACGCGTCGCCGCCGCTTTTAAGCTTTTGTGAAATTGCTTTCTTTTGCCGCGGAGAACCGCGTTACCTTAACTACGCGCCTGAAATCCTTCCAGGCGGGTGTACACAATATCAAGCGTTTCGAGAAATGCCCGTGGAGTAGAACTATGGGAAAATTCGGAGCCCGCGATGTCGATATCGTCGCCGTTGTGTTAGTACGCCGTCGCGTACTGTAGTCCCCCGTTGGGGGAGGGGGGGGGCGGTCTTACTACGATAACATGGCGACAGCGTTTACACTCTATGTATTTACGCGAGGCTCGAGTATTTGGGGATAATGCTGCCGGTTGGTGTGCCCCTTTGTGCCTGATATTATCGCCCGTGACGCCAGCGAGTGAGATGGCGACAGGCATGACTGCTCAGTAAACAGGCGTCGGCGGCCATGTTTTGCTGGTTGAAGCGAACCCCCTTGTCCTTGACAGCGAGCGGGGAAATGCGAAAAAAAGATTGTATCGGCCGTTTTGCCAGAACTAGCGACGAGTGTCGTCTGCGGTTTCCGGCAACTATTTTGCCATAATCGTGAGCTTAGCGAGGAAATGATTTTTGCTAGCCACAGAACACTACCACGCAGAAAGGGAATGCTTGAACATGTTTTTGTTCTGGATATATATCAGGGATATATATGAGAGAGAAAGAGAGAGATGAAGGTAGAGCGGAAGAGGGAATAGCATATAGTGTCGCAGGAGAATAAAGTAAACAAAGTTCCTAGTGGCCGATGGCTGCATGATCTTTTCTCGGATCACTAGTCCGTAATATGATACCTCTTTGTACACAGTAGTTTCTCCTTAATTTAAGTGTGTGAACGATTTCTTTAGTTATCATTGGCCTCATCTGAATAAAAATATATAAAAGATGTGTGTTGGTTTCATGAAACTGGAACTCAGAGTCAGTTCTTGTATAAAACACTGCTAAGTGTAGGCTTTGAAAAAGGACCCTACTTTGGGGAGTTGTATCTTCTTTCTCAATAAAATGATGCAACATGTTTTTAATGGAAATGAATGCCGAAATAGAGTATAACAGGTTACCTAAATTTAAAAAAAATCGAGGGTGGTGTTTTTTTTTTATTCGCATCGGAATTTTTCTTTGTTTGATTTTATTTCCATGTTTGACTAAATATATCCTAACTATTGTATCACACAGATACCTTAGTTATTTTTTAAATAATACCTATGTATTAGTAGAATAATATCTGCAAATTATATCATAATGATTAAATTATTTCATGAGATACAGACCTCCAAAGTTTGCCATTTGTCGTTCGAGCAGGCATGTTTGTCAGTTTTTAGAAAAATAAATAAATTTTAAATAAATATGATTACTTTATATTACAAGCAAGCTATACCCATAGTTTGCGCCTAAAACGTATTAGAGTTCTCCTAATGTTATCGCCTTAGTTATTCACTCTCAAACGGGCCCCCTCCATCAGTGCGCGTTAATGCAACTGTCCACCACCTCATGCCTTACGATTTTTCCTGTCCCCAAGTATTTTTTCTAGCCAAAACTAAGTTTGGATTCGTTCATACCAGACACTAGACAATAACATATAAAAACATCAGTTGATTTGAAAATGTCAACTGGCCATCCTTTGGTCGATCTTATCTGAAATCACCCTATAACATTTGCCTCCCGATGCAGTATTTCGGAAGTTTCGAGCTCATCCAAGCTGATGAAATGTAATATACTAAGATTTCAAGAATCTTTGTCTGTCCTTCGCGCTATTTATGTGAAATCATGAATATCATTGCGTGCATCTTTACGCATCTCTTTTTGCAGTAAGGCGTTCTGGAAGGGATTATTTGGAAAACATAACATTCATTATTTCTCTCTTTTTAAACATTTCGTGTATTTGACTGCCAATTCATCTTGTGAGCATAGAATCCTTTTTAGCGCACCCTGCAACCCAATGTTTCACACTGCCAATCAGCAAACAGAAAAACACTTTTACGTAGACTCCACAGCTCGCGTAGTTTCGAGTATCGTCCTTCCGTGTCGGTCTCAAGCGGTTATGTGAAATTTATAAAGTAAAATTGTTTTATCAATATAAAATATATTTAATTACAATGCCCCCCAAATTATTTGAAAGAGGTTCTGCCAACCTTTTCCGGCGTTTTTATTCTCGACAGGCACGTTGTAAGTGATGTGGGACGGCCTTACATACATTTCTGATTCTGAAGCTAATTTAAATAACTATGTGTTCCTCACACATATAAGTTCTGAAACATATAGAAGTCTGTTATTGCCTTTTTTATCTGGTGAACATTAGTTTTATGTGTCTGTGGGGCTTGACGAAAAGAAAGTAAACAGGGGCGCGCGGTGGAACTATGATGATTACGCACGCAAACCGTCAGAAAGTGTCCAATTAAGTAGCTGCCTTGTCGAGTAGAACGTGAAATACTACTTCCTTTTACTAAACAAAAAAGAATTTTGAAGGACGCTTAAGCTTCGCCTTTAAAAGTGAAACGCGATCGCGTCAACGGGCCTCGTTTGCATCGCATTCTCATTTGCCGCTCAAGCGTGCCTCGCATGGTCTAGTGAAAAGCGTCTGACTCGCAACTAAAGGGTTGTGGGTTCGAATCCTGCCTAAAATATTTAATTTCTTCTTTAAGGCAAAGGAATTACTTTCAAAAGTGAAATCATTTGAAACATACGCTGACCTTTATTTCGCATTACATATCATGTTTTAATCACCCTCATTCCACGCGTGATATCACGTTTCACGTAAGCATTGTGGGTTGTTTCAAATTCTTGCGCTAGGTATGTAGCTCTGACGTCATGAACCTATCGACCCATCAGGATTTTCCAGTCACGCCACCGACATCGGTTTTTCTGCGACATGAACTCGTTAACGCTATCGTGTTAAAATCATCAATTAGCAAGGGTGATGCTCATTTGAAATTAAATTGTCCGGCATCTTGTCAACAACAAACCTCAACAGCCAGGCTATGCCAGCTTATTCTGTTTAAGGAAATGTTCACTTGGGCAAGCGCTATTTTGGGCCAGATTCGATCTGAGTGCGAAGGTGCGTATATATTAGAGTGAACAATTGCAATTACTCCTTGCTCCATGTTTAGTCGCATGCGTGCGGTGCTGAGAGTAAAAAATGTTTGGTTAGAACAACAGGCATTTGGATTGCCGCTCGGTGGTTCTATAAACGATAGACTGAAAGGAGTTATCCTAAAACTTTGTTACATTTCGAAAATTTCATTGCTTTTGGCTCAGTTGGGTCGTCATCATATATATATATATATATATATATATATATTGTGAAGTGTATTTCGTAAACCTTATTTCATGATATAGGGCCACGAGGTGCATGCTCAGTTCATATTTTTATGTGATGTAATTCATTGCTTAGTTCAATGACACGATTTCACTTTCAATACTGACACACAAAGTTGTACCAATCACGGGTATTTTAGACGACCTACCACACTTCGCGACAACATTTTATACCGGGTAAATAGATCAGCTTGAACTTTAGAATTTTACTTTAAAACGAAGAAAGGAAAAGAAAATACAGTATAGTTCTAAATTAGAAGCTTATCTATTTACAGGTATGTACCAACAAGCTCAACTCTTTACTCTTGTACTTAAACATTTTGATTCAGGCAAAATATATTTTACTCGTAAACAAATAGATATTGAGTCGTGTGAACACGACGTTATGTATGTCAATGTAGATATTCTTCTACTCTTGCGTCAAAATTAAATAATTGAATTTAATATTTTTGGTACCTAAGAACAAAAGTAAATTGCACGGACGATCGAAGAAACTATATAGTTATCGACATCTTTTAAATCCTGAGATGGAGAACGATAAAAAAAAAAAAAAACGGACGAACACTACAAAATCTCAACGTTCCCCATCTCAGGGTTTACAAGATGTCGATTGATTACCAGCTCGCCTGCACTCTCTCACTGCTTACAAATATATAGTTAATCGTTTCACAACGGAAATGGTGTATATTGCCAAAAGAACGCGGAAAATATGTTCTCAATTTAGCGGTTCAAACCGGTTCGAACCGGTTCGAACCGGTTTGAACCGTTATTTTTGGATTCCCGGAACTGAACCGGAACCGAACCGAAAGCCGTGAACCCGAACCGGAACCGAACCGATAAAAATTTCGGTTCGACACCCTGCTGTGGTTTGAGCACAAAATTGTGAAGGTAGGCTTGTTAGTCATTAGATTAAGGGCTTGGGGAAAGTGATCTATGTGACTTCGCCCATTACCTGGCCCACCCTTCTGTTGGGGCTTTCGTAGGGATGGCACAAAGAGTATGTTAAGCAAAATAGCTGTCGACATAAGAAAGATATAATAACAATGTCAGCATGCAGAGCATGTTATGGTCTTAACTGGGCAAGAGGCTAAACCTATGAGCATATTACTGCAAATATTTCATGTTGATCTATATAGCACACAAACTGCCTCTGCTTGCCAAACGTTTACCCCTGCATCCTTATTTTCAGAACGAGGCTGGTGTGCTGCAGTAATCAAATGACAGATGAAGAAATAAACTTCACCATATCGACTGACCTCACTGAAGTGAGCGCCGCTATCCTTCAGCATCCCGCTCCACTCCCGGCTGTTCGATGAAACCATGGCCTGCCTTGTAGCTCCTGCAGAAAGTGTTGGTCTCCCGGTCATCCTTGTTCTTTCCCGCAGAACCTCGGCACGTCCACCGCGGGCTGCTCTGCGCTCATCTCAAACAGCTGCAGCTTGTGCTTTTGTTCGGATCTTGAATATTTGCACACCCCTAGTAAATATGTATTTTTTATGCACATATTCCTGTCGAATATCTGCGTAATTGATACATGTGTTGACGAAACAATGCATGCCCTTATCACATAGAGTTTGCCATTCCAGGCCGGCGTGGTTGCACGTCTGAAGGGTTGACCACAGCAAAAAGAAGTGTTCCTTCTAGTTTTTCCATGTTCAGCATTGTATCATGGAAGTGTCGCTGTAGATCCGAGTGTGTGGAAAACTTAACCACCTTCAACATTTTGCTTTTGTGGCCATACACCTTTTCAGCAGGCTCTGATGTCACGTCTTGCTTGGTGGATGCCTTCCAAGTGCATGTTGCATCGGTGCAGGCAGTTGCAGTCATTCCTCTGCATGTCGCGTTAACTATCTTCAGCAGCGGTGCTCCGACATGTGAGCATGTCTCCCCCAAGGCTGCTGTGCATCTGCAGGACACATCCTGCAGGTCTGCTCCCTCAAAGTGGACACTGACGTCATATGATCGTGAAGTTCTGCGATAACCTTATGTTTGCCTTCAGCCGACACTCTGTACTATTTCTCGCACACATGACGACATCAACATGGCCAGAGTCCAAGAAATTAGTGGCTTTGGTGAACCCCTTGTAATTCTCCACCAGTTTTCCATCTATGTCCAGCCTTGTCACCATGTAGTCATAGACAACTGAAATAAGTATAGAGATGTGTTAATTTGATAAGGGCAAATAAACAGTGTACTACATGAAGAAAATACTGCGGTGCTGTTCTGCCTTTCGGAAGGACTTTTAGAGCCCTTCAGGGGCAACAGTAGCGGCCTTCTTCCTCTACGAAACTCGATTAAAAACAGATACGAACATGTAATTGAAAAGACTTATTCTTTGCGATCTCAATATTTTATGAATTAGACCAAAGCTCAAGTTTGAAAATAATTCGCGGGTGCTAATTTTCGCGAGGCGGTGGAATCTCAATATAGCTTCCAATGTGTTTACATTTTACCGGAATTCTGTGCAGAATCCACTTTCTGCGAATTTTAAGCGATTCATGAAATTTGTGACAATTAGGTCCTTGCGAAAATTAAGCCGTTTATGTATGGTTGTTTCTGTGAAAAAATTTTCTAACAGTATTACCGTGGTCACGAATGTAAATTGTTCACGTTCTTGGCAATCATTCATCATCAGGATGGCTAAAGCGTGCACATGCAGCGAGGAGCACGACCGCGATCGACTGTCCCTGGGTCCAATTGACATCCAGAGAAGTCACACTTGTGGAAAAGCAAGATTCCACGCAGCCAATGTGCTGCCACGGCCACTCCATTATGATTCCACAGTGATCAAGCGGCTCAGGTACTGCGAACAAGGTACAAAATTTGCACTGCAAAGCGCCCTGCGTGCTGCGTAAAAATAGCGCCAGTTGACGTCGAGTGCAAATCGATCGAGCCGCCGGGCATTGTTGGCTGGTGGTTGGCCGCATAAAAGCTTCATATAAGCTTATCGTTTGTCCTTGGTGATCGTAACAAATTTAGAATTTCCTAGTTAAGATTAGCAGGTATGCGAATGATTGCACCAGTACCTTACATACACAATGGTCCTGCCCCAAATGCACTACCCCACGGCAGTAGCAAAATGCTCGTTGACACGATTGTAATCAAGGTGTATTGAACGCTTACCCAGCCATACAAGTCCAGTCCGCCGACGAAACTTTACCAGATTCCTCTGCCAAGATCCAGCATCGATAAACGCGGGATTTCGTCTGTCCGGCCGTCACTTTGGCGAGGGAGACCCATAGCTCTGGGGGCACACATAGGTGCCCATCGCCCACACCTTGCCGTCGACAAAGTAGTTGAAATCATTTAAAAACTTGTAGGTCTTCAGTCGTTCTCGGGTGTAAGGGCCATGCGTCTGCAGTAAGGCAATCATAGAGGTGCTGACAATGGACTAAGGAGAAGGAAGGGAATGGCATGGAGCAGAGGCAGAAGCTTGAGGGTGAAGAACAGAGGTAGTTTGAGAAGGCGGGGTGGGAGGGACATGCGGAGTGGGATCAAAACTGCTGAACAATGTGAGGCTCGTGTCGGAACCGTTACGAAAAGGAAAAAAAAAACAAAACATTAACAACAGGACATCATATTGTCACGGGTAGTGACCAATAAACAAGAAATAAATAGGAAGGAATAAACGTTTAATGTGGCGAACTTGTGCCAAAAATGAAAAGGTATAAAAGATAATAAAAGAGCGTCGCGGGCGTCGAAGTCGGCGTAGCAGCGGAGACGAACGGTGGGGCGAAACTGACTGCGGCTCGCCACGCGGAGCCCCTTATGTACATGCGTGGTCTTCTGGAATAATCGGCATAGAAACTTCGACGCGTAGAACATTCGGGCCTGGAACAAGCAACATGATTCTCGAATTCTCCAGAACACTAAGTTACAGGAATAAACAAAGGACACGTCGCTCCATGATTCGAACCCTAGCTTTTCGCGTGGCAGGCAGGCGCGATAACCATTAGGCCACGCGCGCGCTGCCTATTTGGCCAGCGCGCGCGGCATTACTCCCCCCCTTTAAAAAGTGCATCGCCCCCATGCAGCACAAAACAAAAAAAAAAGCAAACAAAAAGTACGGTAAACTAAAGAGTCATTTGGAATACGTAAGGTCCACTGTCCTATCGAGCGTAGTACGGCTTCATGCGCACGACGTGGACGACTTCTGGTCGTGGAGGGCGGCGTGATGAAGTCCGTGTTCCATCGGGCATCACCTCGTAGTTCAGATCACCGAGTCGACGAAGCACTATGTAGGGTCCAAAGTAGCGCTTCAGGAGTTTCTCGCTGAGACCACGGCGGCGGATCGGTGTCCACACCCACACCCTGTCTCCGGGCTGGAAGTGGACGTCCCGGCGACGAAGGTTGTAGCGGTCAGTGTCGATACGTTGTTGGGCTTGAAACCGGAGTCTGGCGAGCTGACGGACTTCTTCTGCCCGTTGGGCAACCACCTGGGCGTCGTCGCTTCCGTCGACAGCCGGTTCGTGGGGTAACATTGCGTCCAGCATTGTCGTCACTTTGCGACCATGAACCAGTTGAAAGGGTGTAACCCCGGTGGTTTCTTGCACGGCCGTATTGTAGGCAAAGGTGACATACGGCAACACCTCGTCCCATGTCTTGTGCTCCACGTCGACGTACATGGAAATCATGTCGGCGATGGTCTTGTTGAGTCTTTCTGTCAGCCCGTTGGTCTGAGGGTGGTACGCCGTGGTGCGACGATGGCTGGTGTGGCTGAGACGAAGGACTTCTTGTGTCAGCTGGGCCATGAACGAGTATCCACGATCTGAGATCAGGACTTTGGGAGCGCCGTGCCGGAGGACGATGGATTCAATAAAAAACTTGGCAACTTCCACAGCAGTTCCGGAAGGAAGGGCTTTCGTTTCGGCGTACCGCGTGAGATAATATGTGGCGACGATGATCCAGCGATTTCCCGACGTCGACGGCGGAAAAGGGCCAATCTGCTGGAAGGGTGCCGTTGGCGGAGGAATTGACTGCAAGAGTCCGGCCGGCTTCGTTGGAGGTTTCTTTCGTCGCTGGCATTCATGGCATGATCGTGTGTATAAGTGGACGGTCTTGGGGAGCTTGGGCCAGTAATACTTTTCACGAATACGGGCCAGTGTCCGGCTGTAACCAAGGTGTCCGGACGTCGGGTCGTCGTGGCAGGCTTGGAAGATCTCCTCTCGAAGGTCTGTCGGGATTACCAGCAGCCACGTCGAGTTGTTGTTGCCGAAGTTCTCTTTGTAGAGAACTCCTTGTCTAATGGCGAAGGTCGGCAGGGCTCGTGAGAAAACATGTGGTATGGCACTCCCACGCCCTTCTAGGTGCTCTATTAGTGCGCGCAGCTCAGGATCGTCTCGTTGTCGTCGGGCCATGTCGTCGCTGTTCACTGTGCCTAGAAAACACTCGTCGTCATCGTCGTCGCTGCTGTCGGAAGGTGTTTCGACGGGAGCTCTGGACAGGCAGTCGGCGTCGCTGTGCTTGCGGCCTGACTTGTAGACTACGGTCATGTTGAACTCTTGTAGTCGGAGACTCCATCGCTCAAGGCGTCCTGACGGGTCCTTGATGTTCGCAAGCCAGCAGAGCGAATGGTGGTCCGTGACTACGCGGAACGGGCTTCCGTATAAGTACGGACGAAACTTCGTGATCGCCCAGACGACCGCAAGGCATTCTTTTTCAGTCGTGGAGTAATTTCGCTCCGCCTTGGACAATGTCCGACTTGCGTAGGCGATGACTCGCTCCGTGCCTTCTTGTACTTGAACCAGTACCGCGCCAAGTCCTGCGTTACTTGCGTCCGTGTGAATCTCGGTTTCCGCATCCTGGTCGAAATGTCCAAGAACAAGAGGCGCCTGCAGTCGTCGCTTCAGCTCGTCGAATGCCTGCTGCTGCTCCTCGGCCCATTCGAACTTCTCGGCGTCCTTCGTGAGGCTTGTGAGCGGTGCGGAAATCCTTGCGAAATCTCGAGCGAAGCGCCGATAGTAGGCACATAGCCCAAGAAACCTTCGCACGGCCTTCTTGTCTCTTGGCACTGGAAATGCTGCGACGGCGCGAGTCTTCTCTGGGTCTGGACGAATGCCTTCGTTACTAACAACGTGACCTAGGAACTTCAGTTCGTCATAGGCGAACCGACACTTTGACGGCTTGAGGGTGAGTCCGGCGGTCCGTATGGCTTGGAGAACAGCTCGGAGTCGTCGCAAGTGCTCGTCGAAGTCGCCGGAAAACACTACGACGTTGTCGAGGTAGACGAGACAGCTCTGCCACTTCAGTCCTGCCAGTACGGTGTCCATGACACGCTGGAAAGTTGCTGGCGCCGTGCATAGTCCGAAGGGCATCACCTTTAAATTCGTACAGCCCATCCGGTGTGACGAAGGCTGTCTTCTCTCGGTCCCGTTCGTCGACTTCGATCTGCCAGTAGCCGCTCTTCAGGTCCATCGATGAAAAGTATCGAGAATGGCGCAGCCGGTCTAACGTGTCGTCGATGCGGGGGAGTGGATAGACGTCTTTCTTCGTCACTGCGTTCAGCTGCCGGTAGTCCACGCAGAACCTAAGCGTCCCGTCTTTCTTCTTAACCAGTACGACTGGGGAGACCCAAGGACTGCTTGAGGGTTGAATTATGTCGTCGTTCAGCATCTCTTGAACTTGCTCCTGGATCACCTGCCTTTCTTTGACGGAGACTCTGTATGGAGATCGGTGCACAGGGCGCGCGTCGTCCTCGGTAACGATGCGGTGCTTCGCAACGGCGGTTTGGCGCACCTTCGACGACGTCGCAAAGCAGTCGCGGTATTCGGCGAGAAGGTTAAACAGCTGACGTCATTTCGGGTCCGGAAGCTTAGGGTCAACGTCGAGCTGCGCTGGCGACGTACTGTCTTGCTGAGGTGGCGAGGATTCGTCAGCAATGGCGGCGATGTCCGCGGAGTTTCGGAGTTCCTCGACGTGGCCAACGGCTGCCCCTTTCGTGAGGTGTTGCGCTTCGTTTACGTGACTTGCGAGGACTCGGACCGCGGATGACGTCGCTTTCGGTTCCTTCGGTGGTGAAACAGGTTTTCGCAGAGTTAGCCGGTTTGCTCTGAGGTCGATGACGGCGCCATACTCGCCGAGGAAGTCCATTCCGAGGATAACGTCCCTCGAACAGTCCTGCAGGACGACGAACTTGACAGGGCACGTCTCACCGTGGATCTCGACGCGAGCAGTGCATCGCCCGACTGGTGTGATGAGGTGCCCACCGGCGGTTCGTATTTGAGGGCCTTCCCACGGCGTTGTCACTTTTCGCAAGCGGCGAGAGAGCCTCCCACTCAATACTGAGTAGTCTGCTCCGGTGTCCACGAGTGCCGATGCGTCGTGGCCGTCGATAATGATGTTTAGGTTATTGGACACCGATGCAGGGACGTCGTTGTGATGCGTAGCGTCGAGAGAGTGGGAGCGCTCCGGCGTTCTTGGAGGCTCTTTACTTCGGTCGTCTTCGGCAACGCCACCTCCAGGCGTTGCCGCACTTAGTTTTCCCGGCGACGCAAGGGCGACAGGCTCTCTCGGCGGGGTCGTGGCGCTGGAGACGCTGAACGTCTGGGCGACGGTGAGCGGGACTCACGGCGGAGCGGCGTTGAAGATGGCGAACGTCGGAGGTACTCCTCGATGTCACGAGGGCGTTCGTCGTACCTTGGGCGCGGGTCGTTCGGGTGGAACCCGCGGAGCCCCAGTTGTCGGTAGGGGCATCGACGGTAAATGTGGCCCGCTTCACCGCAGTGGTAACACAACGGGCGTCGATCGGCCGTTCTCCACACGTCGGTCTTTCGTGGAGCAGCTTGTCCTGGGCGGACGTACGCCCGATCTTCATGGCGTCGTGAATAGTGCGGCGCTACAGGTTCACGTCGAGGTGGCGCCGTATACGGGTGAGCAGGGGTAGCTGCGGCGTAGCTCAGCTTCGGTGGTTCAGGAGCGGCGCTGGCGAGAACTTCTGGCTGCAGCGCCTGCTGAAGTTCTTCCCGGACAATTTCAGCGACTGAGGGCGTAGCCGGGCTTGTGGCAGCAGGTAGCAGCTTCCTGATTTCCTCCCGCACGACGTCCCGGATTATCTCGCGGATGTCCGTGGGGTTGTAGCCGGAAGATGAAAAGTCAGCGACGCCGGGGACTCGGTGATAGTGGGCGGCGCGTGCTTGAAGGGCA